TAGTAGGTAGCTCCCAACACAGACTTTGATGCCCTGACGGAGATGATGGTAACACTTACTATGATCACTTGCCAAGATTTCCCACTGGTCAGGATCAATTCCAAATTCATTTTTAGGACAAATTTAGGAATTTATGTTTCTGGGCTATCAAATCACTAATTTTCACAAACACTAAAAATTCACAGTTTTGATGCAAGAAATAAAATTTGCTTAAGTTCTACTGAGTTTTAGACTAGGGAAAAACAATTTGTACAACTTTTCTTAAATACACTGTGTTTCTTAGTGTACTACTACCATCTACTTATGGTTGTACCCAGATTGTGAAAATTAATCAGATATCCCAGGGGTATTTTATTAATTTCCTTTTCTAATCACTTTTTTCTAATGCTAAATGAATTACAATTATTTGTGTAGAAAAACAAAATTACCTAGGTGCAACCAAAAGGAGCACATGCCCCAAATGATTATAGGATCATCTGTATGGCTCAAAAGGTTGTTTCTTCCTCATAAGCAGGACTCGACAATTAGTGTAATCTACTCGCCCGTGGCGAGTAGATTACAAGCCGGCACAGCCGCGCAAGCGCGGTCGGAGCATGTGCAGTGTAGCCTGCACATGCGCAGAGTGCTGAACCTCACGGCTGGCGAGTGGGGCTCGCCGCTGCTTGGCGAGCCCTGCTCATAAGAACATAAGAACGGCCATACTGGGTCAGACCAAAGGTACATCTAACCCAGTATCCTCTTTGCTGACAGTGGCAGATACCAGATGTCCCAGAGGAAGGGAACACAACAGGTAATCCCCATGTGATCCCTCCCTGTCACCCACCTCTACTTCTTTCATCAGCAAATCTGGGTGCAATAAGAGAGATTACCTCACTCACTTTGTATCTCTAATATCATGGGACCAAAACTGCTACAATTCAAACAACAATTTGATTTCAAATAAGGATTATTTACCAGCACAGGGTATGTCTAGACTGCAGAGCTTTTGTGGGATACCTGAAGTATCCTGAAAAAGCTCTGCCACACCCAAGGAACGTGTTCACTTTTCCGGGAAAAAAAAATCAGAAAAGTGGGCATGTTTTTTCAGCATCCCGGTAAACCTCGTTTTACAAGGAAGAAGGAAATAGGGTTTTTCCCAAAATTTAGCCCTATGTAGATGGGCCAAATTTCAGAAAAGCCTCTTTCGGAAGTAAATTGGAAAAAAGTAAATTTCTTTTTCTGATTTATCTTTGTAGTGTAGACCTAGTCCACATTGCTGAGACATCTCCATTTATAGACTGGCTTCTTCCAAATAGTTTTGTTTTTTAATTAAAATAAACAAAATAAATGGGATGGGGGGGGGGGACAAAGAGTGAAACCCCTTTCCCTATTTTGTTAATGTCATAAGCCTGGTCAATATCCCACTAATGTTAAGTTTTGTTATTGACTGAAAAGGGAGCAGGATTGGAAAGGTGGAAATTTCCAAAATGCTCTGCATTGTGTTTACGCTTCTCCCAATAAAATTAATGTTGACTTCAGTGGTTGAACTGTTAGGTCAATGCTTAGCACTTTTGTAAGTCCCATTCTAAATGTACAAGGAGTTTATATATTGTACAACAGTCTCTTCTTGTTAATTGTTTCTAGTTATTGCTTAAGAAGTTAACTAGGTTTATTGTAATATTTCATTAAATATTATTTTGTTTTTTTCTGATTTCTAGAGATTCATGATCTATAATTTAACTTTTTTTTGCATATGTTCTAACATAATATGCAATAGCTAGTAAAATATGTTAAGCATGTTGCAAAAGCTCACTCCAATCTGTCTTCTTTTTTACACTCCCAGATGGCTAGCAAATGTTACTGCAAAATGAAGCCATAAAACTGGTATAACAAATTCATATTTATTACAATTATTTTTGGACTGAGGTGCTCTATGCTTGGTCTTTGCTGTAAGATTGATTTTCTGTAGAAAATTAATGCCATTTGTATTCAGCCACTTTTCAGTTGTCTGTATAGTGCACTTACAATACCAATGATTTTTTAAACTTAAAAATCAACAAATGGTCTGGTAGCACTTTATAGACTAACAAAAGATGTAGATGGTATCATGAGCTTTCGTGGGCACTGCCCACTTCTTCAGATGACCAGAATTTTGAGTTTAGGATTGAACTGCACATTTACATCTTTTGTTAGTCTATAATGTTCTACCAGACTATTTGTTGTTTTTTAAGTTTATCCTGTATGGACTAACTCGGCTACCCCCTGAAGCTACTGATTTTTTAATTAAGACAGTTCAAAACAAACAACAGGATAGTTTGCTAGAGTCTAAAAGAAAAAATTCGTAATATTTTAGTACATTTATTGTTAAGGGTATTTATAAATGGTTGGTAGCATTATCTTAAATTTTTTCCCTGTGAGTCTGCAGTTTTGATAGTTAATCAACTTCTAGTTTTGTTTGTAAAATGAGCAAGTTTGATATGTATAACATTCAGGAAAAAGGCATATGGATTATCAGAAAGTAATTTTAACAACCATTTTCATACTATCACTGCCATTTAATGAAGGCTTAAATATTCTTTTAATTTCCTCTAACTAATCCTTTATTCTATGGGCATAAACCCAGAGCAATAATGAAAATGTTTAGATTCACCCCATGTAGCAAACTGAAATAATTGCAGGCTGCCCAAAAGGATCTGTTTTAAAGTGCCATGGTGAAAGTAATATAACTGTTCTTTTGTTAAGCTAGTGGGCAGTGACTGGTTAGGGAGTGAGGGAGGGAAGATAAATCCTCCCATGACTCTGTGTAGTAAGACCCTTGAAATAGGAACCCTATCAAAATAGATCACTGTAAACAATGTTATTTTACCTTTAGGTTGCCTCCTCCTGCCCAGACATAGCATTGCAGGGGACTTCATCTCTCATCCCCTTCTGGTGGCTGCTTTCTTGGCCATAACCAGTCCCAGCCAGTGTCTTCTCCCAGCTCTCTCACTGGGAGTGGGGTCCTCTGTGGCTTAGCTCTCTAGGCAAGTCACCTAACAGTTCAGATGATAGCGTCCCAGTTGGCATAAACAAAAAAGATCTTTCACTTCTCTGAAAATAGTGGCCCTTCCTTTAGGTCCTTTGCAAGGGAGTTACTTCTCCCTACCTGGTCTTGCCTCCTCAACTTGTCTTTGTCTTCAGCTTTGTCTTCTTTTTTGAGCTAGTGTGTAATAGCCTCACCATATGAGGCTATGACTGCCACTTTGTTTATTCAGTTTTTCCCCCATTATCCTTTCACTCAGACTAGCAGCAAGAAAGACCTTATGGAAAATGAAAGTTACTTGTCAACAGCCTAAATTCCTGATGGAAATAAGTGCGGTTATGTGTAGAGTGCCACTAGGGATGTCTGAGGATTATATTAAGAAGAATCCAAGTGAAGATAAAGAATTGTTTGTTAAATGACTCTATATAGTAAAAGAGAAGAGAAAAGCAAATATCATGTATATAATATCAGTAGATCTCCACCATGTTTGCTTGTCACCATCATATTACTTAAACCATTTCACCATTTTCCAGAGGTTAATGTCTCCTATTTTCACAGCTTCTGTCACTGACTACACAATTATACAATTGTTGACTTTAATTCTGTTTTCATTCTTTATGAAATGAAGTTCCTTCTTCAAATCCTGATATCAAATCTTTCTTTCTTTTTGCTGGTCTGAGACCATTCTTCAAGCCCTGCTTTCTCTTACATAGTTCAAGGCAACTTTCCCTGCTCCATAGTTTCATTGGTCAGTCCCCTTTCAGCAAAGGGCCAGCTGCAGTCAGCTCAGGCATCACCAACCTCTCTAAGCCATTACAACGGCCTCCAGCTAATCTCTCCCAGCTAGCCCTCAGCATAAATAGCAAAATCTCCTCTCAGCTTTCCAGCCAGCCTCCTTCTCAACAGAACTCCCTCAGCTCATTAAAAAGCCTAACTCTGCCTCCTTTGGTCAGGTGGTAATTAGTTCAGTCATCTTCCAGGTGTGGAGCATGACTATTCAGGGCTCTCTCTCTTGCCTTACAGGTGATAAGGGACCACTCCATCACAGTCGTATTTAACATGCCATATTTTAATGTGATATTTTAAGTGGTTCTATGTATTCATGCCTGATTCTTAATACCTCCTGAGTATCATTAGCCTGATCTAGCTATTATCCAAGAATAATAAATAATCTGTGCCACCTTGACTGTTAGTACTAACAGCAGCCTACAGAGGCAACGAGTGTCATTGTGTAAAATGTCATTGAGATCTCAGCAATCTGGTTCCATGGGTGGTGACTTAAGGTGTAATTTTTGGATGATTAGTTTATTCAATGAAAAATGCAATTTTGGGTCAACTGAAAATAGCTGTGAGTTTGGATCTAATTCAGCTAAAAATTTGGGCTGGGAAAAAGGGAAAAAATAAATGTGAAAAGGTGAAACTTTTGTTTTGCTATTTTTGAGACAAAATGGTTTGATGTTTTGTTTAGAAATAATGTTTCATATAGAAAGTAAGTTAAATTTATTTAAAAACAAAAGAGGATTAAAACACCCAAAAACTAAACAAAAAGCCCCAACGTGTCTTGGGGTAAAAGAAATGTTTTATTTAACTCAAAACTAAATCTTTTCAGTTTTGGAGAAAAATTGAGAAGTTTCCATTCTGATTTAACATGAACTGCTAATATTTACTATTCCCTCCACTTTAATGCTGATACTAGTGTTTCATGGAGGACACACTTCTATTTCATAGTAGATGGGTAGGGCTTCCTATCAAGCAGCCATAGCTTGGGAGAGGGTTGCCCATTCTCTCTAGTCTCTGAGTAGTGTTGTACAGGGCCCATCAATTTTGGGCCCCTGTAATTGTGTGTAAAGCAGGGAAAAGGAAATAGCATCTATGTGAGGTGCTGTACCTAGGGACTGGGCAAAGTGTCTGGGATTTGTGAGGATGCCACCCTGAGATATTTATAGCCTTCCAGCTAAAACACCAGGAGCCTTTGAGAGCTACAGCAGCTTCTCCTCCCTCCCATCAAGCCACATGATTCAGTGGGCTGGGCCTGCCCCTCCCCCGCCCCTCTGGGAGTGGATGTTCAGGCGCCATCTTGTCCTGCTGGGGAAGTGGGGATGGAGCCTTTGCTACCTCAGGAGCAGGGCTGTTCCCCCTTTTCTGCTGCAGCTGGGCCTGGGGACAAGGACAGCCCCAGCCCTTGCCCAGAGCTTCTAGACGAGAGCCAGAGTGACCTAGTCATCCTCCACTTCAATGATGTGTATGAGGTGGAGTCCAGGAAGGAGGAGCCGGTAGGCGGTGCGGCCAGGTAGGAGCCTCTCCAGGCCCAGCCCAGATACTGAGATGTGTGGGTGGGAGGGGAACCACAATATCCATTGCTGTCCTGGTGAGGGGGAGGAGAGGGAACATCTTCCTGCGGCATGTGAGGGCAGGGCATGGCTGCCCAGTCATAGAGCACGTCGGACAGCCCCAAGTAGTCCTCCCTCCTGACTGGAGTCTTCACCACATTGTGGGGCGGAAGGAAGGCAGCCGGCATAAAGCAGTAATTCCACCTCTCTGCCACATGGGGCGCCTATGGTGCCAGATCTGAAAGTGGCCTCTCTGCCTGTCCTGTTGCTGCTTCTTCCACTGGTCCCAGCAGGGTAAGAGCAGGTGGGAGGAGCAGGCAGTAGCTACAGGGGCTGTCTGGCTTTGTATAGGTCCTAGGCTGTCCCACTAGTTCCCAGCATCCCAATGAGACTGCATGTATGTTGAAAATCTTACTACTTCACAAATATTTTGGTGAATGAATTACAGAATTCTGTGCACAAATGCACTTATATTGCTCCACTTGACTTCAAAGGGAGACTTGCATGTGCATCCAAAGATGGAATTTGTCTCTCAGATTTTAGAAGTGATTTTGGTAAAATCCCACCTTAAGAAGTATTTAAGAAAACTTTATTACTACAGAGTAAGGTGAAGTATTTCCTGGGCTAAGATACTGTAAAAAGAAAGATAAGCCTGGAAAGATTATAATAGCTGTGATGTTTCAATGAAGGTGAGGTATGATAAGGATGGAAGGATTCAGAACATTTTAACAGTAGCTAATGCCAGAAATGTAAAGTTAAAGCTAAAATTTAAAACATTCTAAAGGTAGGAAATGCAAAAATAGTAACCATAACTCATCCATATTGCACATATACAGTATTCTTATTACAACTGCTACTATTCCATTTATACCTCAACATACATGAGCCCAATTTTGTTTGTACATGCATACATTCATTTAATGAGATGTTCTGATATGATTGCAAACTGGGTACAAAGGGTCAGAGATTTAAAAGTGCTCAATGCTTTAGTTTCCATTGAGAACAGCTGTCAGATATTCAAAATTGCCCAACACCCAAGAAGTCTAATTTTTTTCAACAGGTGTGGTGCACAATTGAAAGGATGTTTGAACACTGACAATTTTTTAAAATAAAAAATTTGAATTTTAAAATTGATATTAAATATAGATGTATTTATCCAGAATAAATTTGAGATTAATTTTGAAATAGACAACCTATTTTAAGGTGTTACATTCTTATAATTTATTACAGTAATTTAAATTAAATACAAAAATAGTATGAAGAAGAGTCTGTGTGCTGCTGAAGTTTTAATGAAAGTCAAATCACTTAATTTGTGGAAGTTACTAGCTAAGCATGCTGGAGGGCTCACTCTTTTTATACAAGTAGTCTCCTTTGCAAGTGCAAAACCAGTTGAGAGTTGAACAAGCAAGAGAACTTGTGTTTTTCAATCTATGAATAGAAAATAGGAGTGAGATGATGTGGTCTACTACTTCAAATGCAGCCCAGCTGATCAGCAGAGCACTTACAGCTAGGTTTCATGTGTCCTATTGGTGGTGCACATTTGCAAATGTCTCGGTGCACATACAATTTATTCTGTACATAGATGGGAAAAAACCCACACATTAAAATTCGTCAGTTACATTTAATTTAAATCAGTCCTATCCATTTGAAAATCTGGCCATTTAGGGTACGTCTACACTACAACGTTAATTCGAACTAACTTAGTTCAAATTACTTAATTCGAACTAAGCTAATTTGAACTAACGGATCCAGACTAAAAAACTAGTTCGAATTAGCGTTTTGCTAATTCGAACTAGCATGTCCACATTAAGTGGACCCTGAACCGGGCTTAAGGATGGCTGGAAGCAGTGCCAGCAGGGCATCAGAGGAGGGCTTAGAGCGTGGAGATGCTGTCTCAGGCTAGCCGAGGGCTGTGCTTAAAGGGACCCGACCCCCACCCCGGACAGACAGTACTCAGGGGTGCCCCGCTTGCAAAGCAGTCCTGTCTTGGAGTGCCCGGACTACCCACACTGGGCACATCACACCACTCGGCCATCAGCCTGGCTGCACTTGCCGCAGGCTGCCATCTGGGGAGAGGGGACAATTGGGCGGCTGCAGGAGAGCTTCCACCTCCAGAAGCCCGCAGAGCCAGCCCAGTCCTCCCCATCGGGGGCTCGTGCCCCATTCCTCCCTCACCTCCTTCCACTTACCCTTCCCTAGCCCCTCTTCTTGATGTACAAAATAAAGATAACGTGTCTTCCAAAATGGAATCTGTCTTTATTGAACAAAACTGGGGGAGACTGGGAAAAGGAGGTGGGAGAGGGGAAGAGAGAGGCTGGGAGAGGGGAGGGCAACTAAAATGATCAGGAGTTGGGAACAGGTCCCATATGAAGAGAGGCTAAAGAGACTGGGACTTTTCAGCTTAGAAAAGAGGAGATGGAGGGGGGACAATATAGAGGTCTCTAAAAGCAGGAGTTGGGTGGAGAGGGTGCATACAGAAAAGTTCTTCATTAGTTCCCATAAAGAAGGACTAGAGGACACCAAAGGAAAGGAATGGGTAGCAGGCTTCAAACTAGTAACAGAAAGTTGTTCTTCACAAAGCAAAGAGTCAACCTGTGGAACTCCTTGCTGCAGGAGGCTGTGAAGGCTAGAACTAGAATAGAGTTTAAAGAGAAGTGAGATAAAGTGATGGAGGTTGGGTCCATGGAGTAGTATTAGCCAGGGGATAGGAGTGGTGTCCCTGCCCAAAGTTTGTGGAAGGCTGGAAAGGGATGACACGAGACAAGTGGCTTGGTCACTGTCTTTGGTCCATCCCCTCCAGGGTCCCCAGGGTTGGCTGCTGTCAGCAGACAGGCTACTGAGCTAGATGGACCTTTAGTCTGACCCAGGACGGCCACTGTAAGCTCAGGGCTCAGGGTCGGGGGTCTCAGTGGACCACCTTGATTTTCACGCACACCTGCTCCTGGGTGGCCAGGCTGGCAGCTCTCCTGCCCTAGACGGCCACTTTCCTGTGCCTAGTGCGGAGGTCGTGGACGAG